CACAAAATGGCTAGAGATGGAATGAAATAATGCAGCTGATAAAAAATAAATGAGGAAATACTTGATTTAAATAAATTTAATGAAGAGGGAGACTAGGAAATACAAAATAAACAATTTGTACTCTGCTAACAGTGCCTCTGCACACCACACGCACCACAGAGCACCAAAGGGAGACCACTCGAAGCATTCATGTTTTCTCTTTGTACAGGGTCCTACGCACTGAACAGACTCTTAGCTCACACACAGTGTCAACATTGCCTCCAACAACCATAACATGCTAAGCTGAATCCCAGGGTCTCAGCTGGAGCAATCGATTACATGGAGACAAGGCATGCACACAGAGGAATTTCAGAAAGAGATGCTGGTTAGAAGGGACAACATGTACAACCTGGAGTTCTCCTCTACCTCCTTCTGTGAAGAAAAAAAGAGAAGAAGGAGAGGAAGAAAAGTTAATAGATCAGATTTCTGCCATGAGATCAATAAAGCGATTTCAGGGAAAACATTTGCTGCAAATCAATACATCTGTGCAGCACAGAGTTTTGAGCTGTGCTTCCTGTGACACTCAATAGTTAATCTCTATCAACTACCCCCAAATTAAACCACGATCAATTTCACCCATAACTGCACGTGCATTAGAACATATGGTTTTCAGAGCAATTTTTACAGAGTTACAGTTCTTGTTCAGTTAATAAAACTCAAGAATAATCTCAACACAGAATTAGAGATGCCATTTATCACACTTGAGAGGGAACCTGTATTTATTACAAAGCGGAACAGATTTGCTCCCCCTCCCTCAAGAGTACATGCACTATTTGCATTTGAAGCATCCCCCTTCCTTCCCTCCTCGTCCCCTGTACATTTTGCCCATTATGAGGAAACTGGTAGCTCCCACGGAACACATTTTGCTTTTGCAAATACCATAACCAAGCAAGGAGATATTTTCTAGTTCTATAAATCTAGGCAGTTCTCCTCTGAGAAAGAAAAAAAAAAAAACAACCACCAAAAACAACACAGAAGCCTCCTACACTAAACCTCATGTTTATGGATAGGCAATTTCAAGGCTACTAAAGTCATATGAGAGCCATACTAAAACTTCCGGTAGAGACATGTTATCTCATAAGTCTTCCAACCAGATAAATTCATATCTGCATGGAAGATTCATATTACTCAGCTGCTAATGAAAGATGGGGGAGAAGGAATGCCTTCATGGCAAGAAGGGCCATTCAAACTGGTTTAAAAGCTAAAATAACTTTTCAAAGTCACTCCCTGTATGGGTGTAATTACACACAAGCAATCACCAAGATAGGAAAAAACAGAGAAGCTATTTTAACTCAATCACTAAGGAGAAATCAAATTACTTCAGCAAATGAAGTGTTAGATTGTAGCCGAAATAAAAGCCTTATTTTCTGTCTTAAAACATACTTGCATGGATTCTCAACAAGAGAAGCTCTTTTCAGTGGTGCGCAGTGCCACAACAAGAAACAATGGGAACAAACTGGAACACAGGAGGCTCCTCCTGATCAATAGATAGCATTTCTGTGTTGTCTGGGCGATGGAGCATTGGCACAGGTTGCCCAGAGAGGTTGTGTAGTCTCCTCCTTGAAGATCTTGAGAAGATTCCTGGACACAGTGCTGCTGGGTATCCTACCAACCCCAGCCATTCTGGGAATCTGTGAGAGCCCCTGGACCACCTTGCAGGTCTCTTGCTTGTGAGGAAATAGAGGAAAACATTCTCACACAGGCAGCCTCAGTTCCACTTCCAGTCCTTTCTTTTCCCTTTAAAGCCCTTCAAATCCAAACCTCTTCTGACTTGGTCCTTTCAGCTGTCTCACTTCCAAAGACAGATCCAGACTTCCCCTGTTGGTTTTTATCTCCTTCGCATTTGAACCAGATTCCTTCCTGTGGTCTCCTGAGACACTGAAGTGTCTGAGTGCAGAAGAACTGAATGCTTGGGTTTGTCATGACACGGTTCTGCTGAGCAGGGAAAACCCAACTGCAATCCCTGGCTGGAAAACACTGAGGACAGATGGAGCGCAACAGCTCAACTGTAGCAAGCCATCAGTGTGCATCTGTAAACTATTTGTGTTTGTAAGGCTTATTCCCTTTCTTCTTTTGGGGTTGGCTTTCCACAAATAAACCCTTGACACAGACGGACCGCTGTCAGACTTACAGGCCTGGCAGTGCTAGAGCTTCTCAAATATCAGTCAAGCTTATTTTGAAACAAACTGAGTAATGAATCTTGCATTCATTTTGAGAAATACTGAATTATTTTGCCTCTGATAACATCTCCTTGCAGGAGGTGTGCTCACAGCACCATCACCAGCAGCTACATTGATTAAACCCCAATAAAGGAATTCCTTCACCGTTTCATTCTGAGCATCCATTGTTATTTCATGGGGGGGTTGGTTGTGATTTTCTTGGTTGCTATTCTGTTGTTGCTGTTTCATTTTGTAATGTTGTTTTGTTTTTCTACTAACATAAAGTTAAACCATCTTCACTTCATTTGCTTGTTGTTTTCTTCCATGTTAAAACTTTGAAAATTTGCTCACATAGTCAGGGGAACTTTTATTTTTCAAATTAAATGCAACTATCTACATGCTTTTGCTAACTTCTAAATTGTTCTGATAATCTGCATCTGTGTACAGCTATAAATAAGGTAAACCTTTATGCCAGTGCATCATCTCTGATTCACCAAAACACACAGGCATACTAACACCTTCAAAGTTGTTATCAGCTCCTTTGCTGCAGACTACTGCCAAACACATTTAATAAAGCACATTGAACTGAGCATTCAAACAGGCACAAGTAATACAGTGGTTGAGCCTCAGAACCAGAAAGCCAGGAGGCAAAACTGGAGGACTTGAGCCAGGAATTTAAAAGCACATTAAAAAAATACATATATATCTTTAAGTAAGGCATATACAGGCATCTGCAACTGGAAAAAAAAAAAAAAAAAAAAGAAAAGAAAAAAAGAAAAAAAAAAAACAAAACCCATACAATAAACTAATTCACTGCATTCTGAATATGGTGCTTTTTCCAAGGAAAGAAAGTAAGTGCTTGGTTCAAGCTTATTTCAGGCTGATTGCAACAACAACAAAAATTTACAAATAAATAAAACTGTTGCTTCATTTTAACAGAAAATGCTTGCCAAAACTGAAAGTCTGTATAATTAATTTTGACCTGCTCTGCAGCCCTTGGCAAATACTCTCATCTCCTCCCCTACTCTGGGTCCTGCCAAGTGATGTCCCTGTACCTCCCCTTTTCTGTTCCCAGCTCCCCTGCCTTGTCGTGATGGTCAGGATGCTTTGTTTACTGGCACCCTTCCCAGGTTTCCTCCCAAGTGCTCTCCTTTGATCATGTTCTTTTTTTTTTCCCATTACTCTTAATTTCTTTGGATTCCTCTGGTTTCTCTTCCTACATCGTTATTTCATCCTATGCATACTGCTGTAACTTTAGCTGTCAATACGGCTACAATAGAAAGATACCTTTACTAGAAAGGCACACAAGTATGAACTTTTTTGATGAATTAATTACTATAGAGGAAAATGGAACAGAAGAAGCTTGGTGCCAACCTGTGCTGGAGCCAGATTTAAGAAACCAAAATCCAGCTGTGATCTCCCTCCTCCCCACTGTGTTGGCTATCTTGTAAACATGCCTGTAATGCTCAAACAGCAGAGACAAGTAGCCTCTTCTCACAGGCAATGAAGCCTCAGAAACAAGTTATTTCAATATTTTGTTGCAATGTGGCAAAGGCTTACCCAAACCACTGCCTGTTCCCCAGGTCCTAACATCAGAACTTATGTCCAGGATCTACGCACAATGAAACGTTACCAAAAGGGGTGGGAGGGGAATGGGGGTGAGAAAAGCAAAAATACAAATTTCTGAATGAAAAGAAAAAAAAAATGAGATCTTCATTTTCACATTTACTGTTTATTCTTGAGTGACTCGAATATTTCCTTGAAAAAACAGAAATCGGTATACATCAGTGCCACGTCTGCTAACGAATCCTAGTGTTCTGCTCATTAAAAATCCATTGTTCAAATTCACTTCACAATAAGGGACCTCAACTAAAAGAATGCAAAGAGCTTATTGAAGGCTCTATGATCTGCATAACTGAGAAGGTCGCTAGTGCAAAAGTCAAATGCAGTCTGGCAGATCTTTTCCTCACCAAAAGCACAGTCACTGGGGAAAAAAAGAAAACCAAAAAACGAAACAAACACTTAGGATGAGAGAACTTTCACTGATTATTCTGACTAGCTCTCATGATTGCGAGGAGAACTGAATAAAATATGAGATGCAGGGAGGATGGAAATGAGGAAGATTTCAAGCTGTAGCTCCAGTTGATACTTGTCTTGAAACCATCAACTCTCTTTCCTTCACTGCGCAGTGATCTGGACAGAAGTTGTCTTACTGCTGGGAGAGGGAGCGGGCAGATGGCCCTACATTCCAACATCAGATACCAAACCAAGGCCTATCAACACACAGCCCATCAGAGCATGTCAGCCATTTCCATCTCCCATGTCCTCAGGAACTGGTTAACCAGCATTAGCTCCACTGCTGTGTTAGCTCACACCTGTTGTGGTCAAACGTTTCTTTATCTCTGCTGGCAATAAGGGATTTAGCTCCACGCAGATGGAATATAACTCATCTCATGGGCAACCTAAAGAAACAGCATCAAATACGGGTCTTGGTTTTTATTTTTTTCCTTTTAAAGTTTCTGCTAGGATAACATCAAGCAGAGATTAAACACTGAGAACTCCCACTTTGTGGTGGAGCCACTTGAAGTCTGGAACCACTCAACTCCTGAAACTGCACATCCAGCTACTTTTAGCTCAAATGCACACTTAGTTATCACATCTTAACTAATATATTTAACAAGGAACCAAGTCACGAATTATGATGAAAAACCCTAACACCTGCTATTCCTATTCCAAAGATGCAATGCAAATCTTCCTTCCTCCCCCTCTCTCTCACAAAAAAAAAAAAAAACCAAAAAAAAACCACAACTCACTTTAAGCTTACTAATTTGCATTCCAATGTGTTGTACAATCAATTTTAGGGCTGGGTTGTTTTTTTTTTGGGGGGGGGGATTGTTATTTTGTTAATACTGTTGTATACTGCATGCACTTGCCTTCATAACTGTCTCCTAATTTCTACGGTTGTTCACCTGCAGAGCGAGATATTGGTTACTGGCTACACAAATACCAGATATGGACATCTCCTTAAAACGTTTTTTTTGTTTACCTGAATTTGTCTCCTCAGCAGAAATCCAGTTTCCTTCCTGTGCTAATTCTTTTATGAGTCTCCTACGCATTTGTCTCTTTTCCCTCAGTACATTTTTGAAGTTGTTGATGCACTTGTTCAGGTAGATGGTCTCTGCGCACACCTTGTCAAGGCTCATGGGTCTGCACTCTTTTGCTTGCTCAGGTAGAGAGTTCACATCTATTCCACTTTCACCAGGAGGTGAACGCTGCCCAACAGGAATTTCACAGTCAGATGATGGCATCAAATGTGAAGCAGGAGGCTCGTATGCAACAGAGGAAAGACTGGAAGGAACAAATTGCATTTGAGCAGACGCTTCACTGTTGGCAGTTGTGTTCGCTTGGCTTTCAGAGGACTGACTTGGAGGGGTTTCTGCAAAGTTGTCAGAGCTGCCGCACATACCTGAACTGGTCAGCATAAGTGTATTGTCATCATCCATCTGTAAGCCACTATCATTTTCCAAAAGCATTTCAGAATCGCTTGTCTCCAGTTTGTGAAACACCACTTGCAGAGCAGACCTGAAGTGGTTAATGGCTTTCCCAAGCTTATTAGTATAAAACTTCATGTCTACAAGATCAATGTTATCCCGGGAATGATCAAGAAAATACTGGGAATTTTCCAGGACATCCCTAAAGACCTGATCGGTCGGATCTTGATCATTCAGATCCATTTGGATCATATCTTTCAAGCTGTCACTACTATCAGCCAGCTCATCCGTTGTACGATCATAGCTAATGGTTGTCACTCCACTAGAAACGTCTTCTCTTTGAGTATCACCTTTCTCCACATTGGTAAATTTGCATGGGGTATCATAGTCTATTTCAGTTTTTTCTGCAGTTATATTTTCATCTTTACCTAGAAGGGAAGAACCATTCTCAGTGACGCTCTCAGCATCATGCTTGTGCTCACTTCCACTGCTTGGAGCACACACCTGACTTGCACGGCCCAAAGACTCGGATGAGCAGCAAAAATTTCCATCATTTGGTTTGGCCAAACTGGTCATCTCTGGAGAGCTTTTTGGAGTTTCATGAAGAGCCTTATGAAAGTCAGCTTCATATGAAGGCTGTTCATTGCAGCTTATTGTTTTTGCTTCCTTCCCAGCTTCAGATATTGAGTTGCTTTTCTTACTCAGAGTTGACTTCTGCACAGAATCAAATTTCTCCCCTACACACTGTGTTTTTCTACTTGTGCTTTTATTCTTAACTTGGCATGAGTCAGTCTGAAGGTGCTCAGCTGCATCAGCTCTCTGCGATGCATCAAGATTCACTGAATTGCAATTATTTTTCTTCAACCCAGACTGCAAAGAGACTGAATCTGCCTTGTGGCCTCTCTGGCCACTTTGCCTCTTTTGCTCTTCACTGGTAGTGATCCGGACCCCTGAGCTTTGCAGAATAATAGACTTCTGTAAAATAAAGTCTCTCTGTTCACAACTGACAAGTTTCACAACTGCTGGTCTTGGTGTTAATGACTTGCCTATTCCAATATCTGATCTGTAAGCATCTTTTATATACTTACTGCACTGGATACCATTGAAACAGTGATACTCAGATAAGAAGCTGCAGATAAGCTCTACTGTGTTTTCACCATCTTTTTCTGGAATCCCATAAAAATATAACACTGGTTCTTCCTTATGTACCTCCTTATTTGGCTCCCGAGCATGTGTACCTGAGGTTTTGGCAGTGGAACCACCCTGCAGGCCTTCTATCTCACTCAAGACAGTATCCACGCAGCTTGAGACTTCATCCACAGAGCCTTTTATCAAAGTGAGGTGCTCTCGGAGCTCTGCAATCTCCGTCTGGATGCGACTTATTCCCTGAAGCTCTTTAACGATATAATCAACCACATCTGCCGAGCGATCTCTTGATTGCCGTCTGTGACTCTTGTATGCAGCAGGCTTCTCCTGGGGAAAGCACCCTTGCCTTTCAGCTCTCTCCCTCCAGCTCATTGTTATGCTCAGAGAAGAAAGGTCCTGCCCCTCAGATACTCTACTCTTTCTTTCAGAGGAGGTCTGTGTCACACCACCAGTAGAATTTCCTTCCGAGTCCTTCTTGTTCTGTTGAAGCGAGCATGGTATTTTTACATAGCCATCCCAGTTCAGTTCCACCTCACCAACACACACTTCACTCACGCCCTTGGTTTCGTGTTGTCCATCCTGATGGAAGTCACCTCCAGCAGTGGAAAACTCAGTGCTTGCAGAGCTCCTCTTCATTCCACAAACAAACATGTCCGTTTCGATCTCTACTGGAGAGAGCTGGCAGTGGTGAGCATGGTTTGGATTCTCATCTGCTTGGCCTTGAAGAAGCCTCTTCATTTTGTCCCGTAGAAACAGCTGGAGTCTTTGCTTCCGGAGTTGCTTCCTGGCCCACAGTTTTACAACAGGTTTTCTCTGCAGAAGTGCAATTTCATTTTCTTGCTTTTTCAATCTACTTCTAGCAAACATCATCAGCAGCTGCACCTGTGTCTTTCATAGTGCTACGAGCTGCACAAGCACACATCAATCACTTCCCAATGCACAACTCACATCCAGTTTTTATTCTGTGACGAAGTAGCTACCGAAAGAGGGAAAAAAGATTACAATTTGGTTCAGATAGAAATAGCCAAAGTAACTTAAAAAGAGGAATTTTTCTTTAAAAAAAAAAAAAACATCCACATCAAAGCAGACAGAAAGAGGATATACTACTTAAAGTGTACAGCCATCATCTTGGTTTTGGTCACTTGCCCAGATCAGGTCCTTCTTTGTAGAAATAATTGTTCCTTACCCCTTCTTCTCCCAAAGAAAGTAAAAATTGAATAAAGAGCAATTCTGTGTCCATTTCCTTCAGGTACCAGGTTTGAAACTTCCAACAGGCTGAGCTTCTTGCAATGGCGGGCTATGTGACTGAATTACCCTGACAGTTATTAAGGATTCTATCAAGGCACTTTTCATTCCAGTCTACAATCTTCATCCTTTCTTTCTCCAAACCAAGCAGAAATCAAGTTAAATTTGGCTCAGTACCAGCTATCTCACAAGAACTCCACAAAGCGATGCAAAGAGGCAGGAAGACTGCATGACAGATTTTGAGTGTAAAACCTTTTTGCTATTTTAATCTCTTAATATTTTGCTACTAAACACTGGAGGAAAAAAAAAAAAAAAAAAAAAAAAGGAAAAAAAAAACAACCAACCTTAAAGCTTACAAGCTTCCAGGCTAACCTGCAGTTAAATATGCCACACTTAGCATATGTACGAACAGGCTGAGCTGACAGCATGAAGATTCTGCACGTCACATCTACTCCAACCCTGAAGATTTTGCAGTGGATCATTTTCTCCACTTAAATCTCCTCTATAAGGAGCAAAGAAAAAATGCTATGTTACCTACTTAAAACTTTCAAGCCTCTTCAACTGCTGTACCTACAAAGCAACTCACTAACAAACAGCTTTTTCTTCCGGGAAGAAAGGCATACAGAGACCCAGACAGACATCCTCCTTAAGCCAAGGTGACTAAAGAATGCCCACTGCCTTTGGTGCATCATGGTGGATTTGCTGCTGCACTGTACACTCATTCTTGTGATCTTACTCCCCGTAAGATCTATAGTAGCTGCCTTTAACTTTCATTTTAATTATTATCTAATTCTTAAAAAAATAGTTTTTAAATTCTGCAGCACATAAAACCATGATGTGCAACTTGCAGCCTAAGTTAAATTTTGCCAAGTGTATCTAGCTTGGTGCAGGAAGCTGTGTTGAAAGTACTAGAAAGAGTTTCTAGCCTTAAAACATTTAAACAACAAGGTCACAGTTCACATCCAGACATTTGTCTGCTGCTCCATTCTCACCATTCTTTGAGGCTGGTAACCTTGGCTCTCCTATCGCCATCTTTGCAATCCTGGAATCTACTGCAGAGATGGCCAGATGTAGTCCCACAGCACCCAATGCAGAGTGCTAGACCAAGTGCTGAGCCCAAGTATTTCACATTTTTGCACTAAGTAGAGGACAGAACACCACCAGAGTTCTGCCTGCACTAACTTGAGGTCTTCGCCTAGGCACCAACAAGCTCCTCCTCTGCCTTCTCACTGCCTAAGGGCTGGCTCCATAGTTCACAGAAGCATTCACCAAGTGTTTTTTTCAGACATGAAATAATTCACATTTTTAAAAGATTAATTTAAGGCTTGTACACCTTCACTGACTCCAAGTTGCAGCAGGACAGAAACTATCCCTTATTTACAGTAATGCCAACACTTTGCCCTTAGTGTATTTTCATTGTGGTGAATTCTTTGTTTTCATGTTCGTTGTTTCTCTTCAGGACCAAGGAAGAAGAAAGGGTTTTCTGATCTGGATAAGACTGCATTTGTAAATAGCAGTCTCCACAATCAGAGCTAATTAATGTCGTATAACAGAGGCTGCATCTGTGCTTCAGGGTTATGTCCCACCATCCAGCAGCTCAGTTAAGTTGTTATACCTGCCATCATGGAAGCTGTACAAATTCTCCACTTAATCTCTTTGTCAGCATCTTGAGTACATCAGTCTTTGGTTTTATAAAGTCTTCAGGTTACGAGTCCATCTGTTTGTTTTGTTGTTTTTTTAAATCTTTATCTACTCAAAAAGACTGACTTAAAAAATACTTGCTTTGATTCTTTTCTTTCACCACTGACAGCATTTACCTTTCCATTTGAGTGGTTAACTGGTGATTAATGCCAGAAAACCACTTCTGTGTCAACATTAAGAAGTAAACCTTAGGAGAGAAAGCAGTCAAATTCAACAGCACCCTGGAAGAAGAGCTCTACAGCTGTGCTCCCAACCTGTGTGCATTACAGCAGCAAGTAGAGATGCTCATTTCAAATATTTTCCAGCATATCAAACAATGAGGGCTAGAAGAAAAACTTAAGACGTTTGTGCAAGTAAGAAATTCAGTGTCCTACAGATGGCTGTCAAGGCACCAGAGGGACTTAATGACCATTTTAGTTTTTAAAAAAAGAAATCAGTTCAAGCTGAAGTTCACTGTCAGTTCCTTTGTCTGCTGCAATGCTTGACAGCAACAGTTTGTTACAGAGATTGCTGTTTCCTGCTGGCAGGACCACAGGCGTTCTGAAGCAGGTAGCTCAATGCAAACACAACAGAGATTTCCTTTTATATATTTGTATACGTGCATGTGTGTATGTATATGAATACAAATAAAGAAATATATATACCTATACAAACTAACATATATATGTATATATCTATACACACATGTTCTCGTTCAGATACTGCAGCATAAGCTGCAAAACTGCCTACTGGGATCCCATCTAACGTATATATGTATACATATACAAACATGAAGAAGAGTCTTCATTAGAGACTTTTCTAAAACAATGACTTTGATTAAAAGTACCAGCAATATCTTTCCAGGTCATCCCAAGAGGGCCTGAAGCTGTTTCTGCCCAGCCTGGGAATAAGGCTAGAAGAGAACATGAGGATGCCAGCTCTGGATCAGAGGGAACCATTTCCACCTCTCTGTACAGTGGGTGGAAGTCAATGCTTCCACCACAGAGCAAAACATTACTGCTTAGAAGAATGCCAAGAAGCAGGTAGAAGAATTGCTCTCTTCACACTTCATCTGCAGGCACTGTCCCTCCATGCCCTGCTTTCTGATACCATAGATCCACGTTCAGAAATGGAGCTCAGGGTATTTGCCCTATCCATACCATGGGCTAGCCCCACATTCTGCTGCACTTCTTCGCAGGCCCTCCCCTCCTCCACACCACCCAGGGAGGGGTGTGTGTTCCCATTCCCTTCCACTGAGTCAAACTAGGTGCTGTGCTGTCTGCTATATGGGTCCTCTGTTCCTCTAGGTTGGCTGTCTTGGAGTTATGCTCCCCTGTAGCACAGATAGACAAAGCGACAATGAAAGTTAATGCAAGTTCAGCCAAAAAATGTCTAATTTGGATGCAAATCCTTGCTGAAATTTTTTTCTCTTCTATCCTAACATGTAACAAGAAATCACATCTTGAAATAAGGAATATTTGCATCCTGATGACCTGCCAGATACTATGAGCCCTCACACAAATTTTGTTCTGACTGCCTTTTTAGCAGGCATTCCTCAGCAAAACTTAAAGTTTCACTCAGCACAGCCATCTCTGAGTGTGCAGAATGAGGAACAGCACCCACAGGTTCCACCGTTTCTGTATCCTTCAACCCAAAAGGCAGCCAGGCTCAAGGTAAGCAGGAGAAAGACACCAGTGGCATCACACCAGGGCAGATGTGATGGGCAGACTCAAAGAAATACAAGAACCGATTCACTATGATCAAAATGCATTTCACAGAAGCCTGTCTGGCTATCAACTCACACCACCATAGCAATGAGTAAAGCCTTTTGGACTGGATTATATTTACAGCATCTTCCACACACAGTGGAAGTATGCAAGTAATGCGCTATGCAAGTAATTACTATAAGAAAAGCAATAAAACGTTTCTCTACTTAATAAAGAACCTTTTTAACCACGAACCAAAATACAGGACATTCTGGGAAAAGCGGTTTTGGCATTATCAAAAGAAGGAATTCGTGGCTAGGGCTGCCATAGCAACACCGCCCCAGCACACTGCATGCTGAAACACTGACTCTTTCTGTGAATATTACAGCATTTTTAAACGCATTAATTGCTGAAAGAATCCTAACAACAGGGCTTGACAGAGACACGGAGGGTTGCCGCCAGCTTTGCTGACGTATGACTACTGGAGGTGAGCATGCAATTTTCTAATTAACATGATTGGATTTAATTTTGGGTCGGATCATAGCTAAACAAGGAATTTATTGCTTGCTTCTCAGAATGTGTCTCTTTTCAAACCTTCTCCTGATAATAAACAAAAAACTAACTTTTGAGTCCAGGAATGAATTATTGGAACTCAAAGTGACCAAGCCAGAGCAGTGCTGGTTTGGAGAACAAAACAACAGCAGGATTGGAGAATAAAAAGTGCTCTGCTAAATGTGTTCACCTCAGGGCATTCCTGCTAAATATAAGGTTGCAGAAAACACACATTTAGTCCACTTCACAGTGGACTAAAGATGAGATATATCCATGCTATTGAAAAGAGTCTAATTGCAAAGGATAAAAGTGATTTTAAAAACAAAACAATGTAAGCAAAGAAACTACTTCACAGTAACCCTTTCGGTGTCTTCTCAGAGCCTTGTTGCCTGACAAGCCTCAATCTGTGTTCTTGTTCAGATACTGCAGCATAAACTGCAAAACTGCCTACTGGCATCCCAGCCCTACTCATAGAACTTTCTGCAGTGTTCAGGTATTTCCAATGGTGTTTTCCAAACTTCATCAGGACCTGAAGACAGACTGGTTTCAATAAAGCTGAGCAAAATTCTGTCAGAACCTTTCGATGCAGACACTGGTGAGAGCCAGCTATCCCACCTATCGTGTTTTAGAAGAATGCACTTGAATTCTTCCCAGAACAGTCTGATAGATGAGACAAGAGAAGAGAACAGATTTGACAAGTCAGTAACCCTGTGGCAGAAAAACTGATCTGGGGAACACAGCCTTTTGGCTGAATGAATTACCTGGTTCTGCATCTCTCACGTCAGCTATCCCTTACCTTTTACAGAAAGCTGTTAAGCTGAAGAAAAAAAAGTCTCTGAAT